CAAAAAAACGCCACGGCACCGAGTGCGGCGTGGCTGAGCGGTGGCTCTTGGGCGCCTTAATTGGGACGGTCCCGCGCGAGGCAAGGCGAGGCATCCCACTCAACGGGCCCTTGCGGGGCAGAGCCAAGCGGCAAGGGAGGGGAAAAGAGAAGGGGGCAGGGAGGCGCACCTCATGGGGATGTTCTGCTGCATCAGTTCGAGTGCACGCTGCACACGTCGGTGGAGGACAAGTACATCCGGTGTCTAATCACTGCGCGGCTGCAGGGCCCGCTCGCACAGCGGCAGGCGAAGAAAGGCGTGACGAGGCGACTACACCTGACGGGGGGCGGGGAAGAAGGGGCGGCTGGCAGCACAGAGGACAAGCGGCGGGGGCGCCGCGACAGCCGCCCGCAACGGGCACAGCGCAGGGGAACCCACAACGGCCGCCCGGCCCACGCACGGAGGGGCCGCCGCCCGGCCACGGAGGGACGCCCAGCAACACATGCCCTCCGTGTCTTACGGCGCTCCTCCCCTCACCGAAGCTAAACCCGCAGGCTAAACCCGCAGACGCCCCAAACACAACACCTACCCCAAACCACGGCAAGAGAGAGGGGGAAGAAGAAGAGGGGCGCGCTGCAATCCATTGGAAACACACGCAGGGCTGTGGGAAATGCGTCACGCCGTGCCTGCTCTCCAGTAGGACAGCTCAATAGGCCGGGCGGACCCACACCCGAGACAAGAAGTGCATGCTGGGGAAAAACAAGCACGCGGAGAAGTCGCAGCATGCTGAAAAAGAAGAGCACAGCATGAGCGCCTCACCAAAAACAACCAAGCCGTGACACCTACTAGGTTTTCCTTCACATCGCTTTAGCACTCCTCGCTGACCACATTTTACTGTCGTATGGAAAGCAATAAAGAGGCACTGCGAAAAAAAGAGCATAACATGTATGCGGAGAACAAAACATCGGTCAGCGCTCCGCATACGTAAGTAGAGCTACCGTACAATTTCCGTCGACATCTACTACACACAGGGCATGGCGGGTGCACAGTTTATTTCCGCCCCAAATCCCATTTTAAAGACGCAGAAAAACAACAACAAGAAAACGATGGCAGAGATAGAAAGAGAGAGGCACGGAGAAGTGATGCTGCAAAAAGTGGCAATGGTGGGCGAGGCGTTTCTTTCCTTCGTTCATTTTTTGTCAGTGCCTTCTCTTTCTTCAGCACAATCGCACATTCACACATTGCCCGCTGGCCCTTCCCCACCCCCCACCCCCACAAGCAGCCCACACACTCAAAAAAAGTCAAGATATAGAGAACTCGCTGTTTGCTGACGCCCACAGCCCCGGCAGCGCCTTGCGCGGGCATTCGCTCTCGTTCGGCCCCATCGCGCCCGCCAGGCGGCTCTTCGCCGCGCGGCACAGCCCCACTGCGAGGGGACAGGCGTCAGCACACAGCGGCACAGCGAGAAAAACAAGGGAGAGAATATCGACAAAGGAAAGGGGCAAGGATGAATACAATGGCACACAACCCATTGCCCCGATCGCGGCGAGAAAAAAAGTTAGCTATGCACATGTTTTGCAGCGTAACTGCGTCTTCTAAAAATTTGCACATAATACAACTCTTACAAAGAATAATCAATTGGGGGAAAAAAGTATGAGTTTGCTCCTAGTACTCTCTCTGGGAAGGGAAACGTCTCATGGGACCGTTTCCGTTCTGCGGAGGGTATCCTCGCATGGAACCGTTTCCGTTCTGCGGAGGGTAGCCGGCGTACGGGTTCTGTGCTCCCTGGTCAGGGAATTGACCGAAAAAAAAGTTGCCGCCTGGGGCCCCTGCATCGCCTGGATAGACATTATTAACGTAGGCGCTATTGTTACGAGCCACACCCGCAGGCCCATATCCCATTTGCTGTCCCATGCCAAAGCCCTCATTGACGTCAATTTCCCCATACCTGTTGCTGCCACCCCGGTTTAGGCCCATGCTGCTCCCGCGTCGGCTCATGTCCTTGGCGCTGCCGCGCCGGCTCAGGTTCATGGCGCTGCCGCTTCGGCTCAGGTTCATGGCGCTGCCGCGCCGGCTCAGGTTCATGGCGCTGCCGCGCCGGCTCAGGTTCATGGCGCTGCCGCGTCGGCTCAGGTTCATGGCGCTGCCGCTTCGGCTCATGCCCAGCTGGGACTGCGTTGGAATCCGGTGGAGGTTTTCCTCGCTCTTCATTTCCTCCGCGATCTTGTTTTCCAGCTGCTGCTTACGCCGCCTACGGCAACAGCAGCAGATAAGGAGAACGACGGCCACGATGCCCACGATGAGAAGCGCAATAAGTAGGCCCGCCCACCATGGAAACTTACCGGGCTTGGTCCTGGACACAAAAATAACAAAACCATTCTCATCCGTTACAGGTGCCGTGGCTGCCTCCTCAGGTGTGAACTCATAGTACTCGCACACCCAGTCCTGGTACCCGTGGTCACGCATTTCGTTCTCCCATCTGCCGTTGCTCACCATTTTCGTAATGGTTCGTTCCTTCGCGCGATCAAAACTTACCGGCTGATATCCCTTCAAGAAGTTGTTGTACATGCCAGGCACGGAATGCGTGTAGTCTTTGCTCTTATACACGGCTCCCCTGAAGAATGTGGCCTTTTTAATATCTGTCCCGTTCATTAGGCCAGTGAAGTAGACCCACTCGCATGGATTGGTTGTGCAAGAGGCGTACGGGCACCACCCACCAATGGCAGCCTCTGTGAATCCACGTTTACTGAGGGCTTCGAACGCCAGTACTTGAAAGCTCTCCTTCATTGGCATCATTGTGTGGCCGCCGCCCTGCCAGGGGCAGTAGCCGTAGGACCGTCCGCTCACGGGTGAGGGAGAGATGAGGGCGCTGTAGCGCACGTTGTACGCCACGGCAGACATCGGCGCGCACAGCGCAGCGACGAGCAGAGCACAGCAACAGGCGGCGAGAGACAGCGGCGCGGACGGGCCACGCGTCTCGGCGGCCCTCTTGCGGTACATTGCAACGGAGCGCGATTGGTGAGTGAGACTTACTGAAACCTTCAGGTGAGAACAGAGCAGCTCTTCCTGCCCCAACACAGCGAGAGAGGACAAATACAAGGCAGGAGTGGACCACACAATGCAGAGCAACAAACATGCCAGACACCCCATCAAGCGCGGGAAGCGGACAGCGCACTGTATTCACAGGCGGGAGACAGTTATATGCTCTGTGGGCGGGGCAAGGCCCGAAGCGCCCCTCACCCCCTCGCGCTCCGCAGACACGGCACCAGCGGCACGCCTCACTCGTCGTACAAGTCACAAAGAGGGGACACGACAACAGTCACCGTCACGGGAACCCCCTGATCCCGCGGCACGTGCACCACGCTCAGCTGGCGCTCCTCGTTCAGCTGGAACAGAAGCCGCTCGAACCCACCAAATGTCGGTTGTGCGGCACCGCAGGAAGCCCCTTGCAGCCCCGGCGCGGAGTCCGCCACCGCACCTGCCGCGCGCCACAATTTGGCGCCTGGGCGCACCCCGCACGCAAGCGCAAGGTGCGAACGCAGGACGCGGGTGCGGGCGCGCGTGCCCCCGCCGAGCGCCGACAGGACCACCTCCGAGGAACGTTGCAACTGCACCGTCACCGCGCCGTACGGGCCGCCCTCGCCGCGGAGCGTCACGCCGTCTTTGGGGTCCAGCACAACCACCGCTTGGGGGCACTGCGCCGCGACCAGGTCCTCGATGGCATCGCGCGCCGCGTCGCCCAGCAGCGCCATTTCATTCGTCACGCGGGCCTCTCCGAAGCGGAGGTCCAGCAACCGCTCCTTCACCGGGCGCGTGACGAGGGTCGACTGCAGGGTGCGGTCCCCGTCCGTCAGCTCAACGAGCAGTCTGGCGTCGTCCATCGGGTACGCCAAAACAACGCGCGCCAGACCGCCAGGAGCCAACAGGGCGGGTCCACCGAGCAGCAGCGCGTCGCGCAGAGTGACGAGGTGCACCGAGAAACGCGCATCCTTCGCCGAGTACTCGGCGAACAGCGCCTGGGGGAGGGTGGCGGTGGCAGTGATGCTCTGGTCCGTCCCCTCAACGTGCAGCACAACAACACTTTCGGTAAAGGCCACAGTCGCCCACGAGTCCTTCGCCATAGTGAGAACAGCGAGGGCCTTGAGAAGAAGGTGCGGCTGGGCCACGCGGCAGCACACGGACATGCGAAGTGGGTCCTTCATGGTCACCCTCTTATCTCCCACCGCCCGCTTTTCCCTCGGAGCCGCAGCGGCGGCAGTAAAAAGAAGGAGGAGGCCGGAGCAAAAACCTGCTCGTGCACACACGCACACGCACACGCACACGCACACGCACACGCACACGCACACGCACACGCACACGCACACGCACACGCACACGCACACGCACACGCACACGCACACGCACACGCACACGCACACGCACACGCACACGCACACGCACGGCAATATAGTTATTTGCAGAAACAGTTGTACCGGTGCCGCGGGGCCCGTGAAGCCCGAGGTCGGAGTCTGACGCAAAGCCCCACGACGCCCCTCGT